GCTCATCTCTGGTAACATGCGGCCATCACAGAGGGACTAGAATGAGAGCAGCAAATAAAAGCCTTCGAGCTCCAGATGGTTTAAGGCAACGCTTCCAGCCTATCGTGTTGGATAATGTGACCAGTCCCCTGGACTGCACAAGACAATCTTATCTTAGAATACCTCTGAACACCAGACGACCAACGGCAAGAAAAGAATACCCACCCTTAAGCAGCTCTTTGCTCCTGTGTCAGCTATGAAGAAAATACAGAAGATGGATCTTCATGCATGTTATCTCCATAAGATTATTAGTGACTTCTCTTGAGGGGGGAAAAATTAAGGTAGTTAGGTAGATATGAACCAGTGTGTATAAGAGGCCAAAGAAAAAAAATGGAAATTTCTGAGCAAAGGAAGAAAGTCTTGGGAGCAGGCCTGTATTTACACAGCAAAAGTCCTGTCTGTATTCCATACCTTGTTGGATGGGTCTTTTGTGTGGCTGACTGAGGGAAGAAGGTGCAGGCATTGTGGTGTAGAGGGTAAAGCTACTGGCTGTGATGTCCCCATCCTATATTGGCACCTGTTCACGTCCTGGCTGCTCCATTTGTAATCCATTTCCCTGCCAGTAGCCTGGGAAAAGCAGCAGAAGATGGCCCCAGTGTTTTGACCCCTTCCACCCACGTCAGAGACTTGGGTGAAGCTCCTGGCCCCTGGTTGCGGCCTGACCCAGTGCTGGCCTTTAAGGCCATCTGGGGAGTAAACCAATAGATGGAAGATCTTTCTCTCTCTAGCTGTGACTTTCAAATACATAAATCCTTTTAAAAAAACAGAATGAAGGGAGAAATGTAGTAACAAACCAGCATTTACATATAAAATATCTTGCCATTATTTAATAACCTGGTTGTGTGGGTCCCAGCCCTCTCTGGGAGCAGCTTAAGGGAATGTCATCTGCCCTTCACCAAGGTGGCTACTACGGAGTTCTGGGAAGAATTTTACAAATTCCATAGCCAGAAAGCCCTGCACCCAACAATACCCCAGAAAGTGTGCCTGGGAGGAAGCAGAGAACCCATTCCCACATCCAGAGAAACTCTAGTCTGCAAGCACACTGGGCTCTCAGTTCTTTACCGAGATGCTCTCCTGGGCCGTCAGGTGTACTCTCTTCGTTACTCCTTTTTATTAAACTTGACAAGCATGCTAACTGCTACAAACAAAATGCACTACAAAACATAAAGATAATGTCTAAAGATAAAGAAAACAGCATAGTAAGCGAATTTTTGGAATCAGAAAGTCAAATACCAGAAGAAATTGTAGACAGAGAGAGACAGACACACACACACCCTTGAAGATATGGAAAGGGTGAGAAAGTTCAGGAGCCCGCAGGTTTCCGTTTTAAGACTAACCATTGGCCAAATGCTTTGACAAGAAAATGAGAACTTAAATGTCCGATTTGTCAAGAGAGCAGAATTAAACAAATTTAATCACAATGAATCGGGCATTACAGGGCACTGGAGACAGATAACCTGAGCAACGTCTCTGCTTTTCCTCCTTTGGAGCTGTGGCCTGGTAAACACTGAATCTTTGTTTAAGAATCAGTAGAGCTCTACGTTTCTAAACATTTCCTTAAATGGAAGCTTTGGTTTAAGTTTTCTACAATGAAGATAAAAGCCCGGGTGACAGAGAGGGATTGGTTCTAGAGTCTCCTCAGCCACGGCTCTCTGGGGGGCACGATGGCCCCTTAGCCCCAGCAATCAGGGAGAAGCACGACCAAGGCCTAGAAAGCCACCTCACTTCTACTGCTTGTGATCAGACATGCAAAAGGCTCCTGCAAGTTAACCCCCAGAGTTCTCCTGGCTCAATACATTTCATGAAGTCAAAAACGGGTTTTTTCTTTGGTAATGAGGAAACATGCAGTATGTGTATATTTATGTGTGTAATGTGTTTACTCTGAATTTCTTATTATAGTGGGAAATCTCAAATGCTCAAAAAGTACTTACGCCCCTTTAGGAAAATACATTCTTTCATATGTAGCCATACTTAGGTAGGATTCAAGTCAGCACTGCTAGGGTTACCAATTCTCATCTGTCTAATATTCCTTTTAAAAAACACTACCATATTGTTCTGTTTTAAAACAACTTTCACAGTCATTTCACAGTTGATGGACATTTGGGTTATATCCCCATCAACAATGTAAAAGTTTTCCAATTTCTCCACAACCTAATTCTTTTTTTCTGTTTTTTTTAATTTCAGTCATTTGGTGGGATGTGAAATGGTATCTCATTGTAGCTCTGAGAGAAAATTAATGAAACAGAAAACAGAAAAACAATAGAGAAATTGATGAAGTCAACTGATGAAGCTAGTTCTCTAAAAGATGAACAAACCATCAAACTTAAGCTTGACTGACCAAGGGGGAAAAAAAGGAAAGATTCAAAACACTAGAATCACAAATTGAAGAAATTACTACTGTTCTTTACAGAAGGAGCAGGGCCAGGATTTAAATCCAGGCAACTGGTGCCACGGTCTACACTCTTTACCATAAAGAGCTGAAAATATCTGAGCACCTTATAGGACATCAATATGTTAAACTGCACCATCCAACTTTTGTAGCTTAGTTGGTATTCAGGACTTACACCTGTCTATAGAGAATAAGGTTGATCTGGGGACTCTAGAGAAAATCGTCCATTATCTCATTGACTCTCATAATCCTATGGTAGATACTATTATTAGTCTCATTTTTGAGATGAAAGAAGCAAGGCACAGGAGATCACCCAGACAGCAAATGACAGGGCACACATTTAATCCCAATACCTGATCTCACGGCCCACAGTCTCCTTCTAGAGTCCCTTTCTATTTACTCCTTAGTGTGGTCCATCTCACGCTTAACCCCGTATGAACTGTAGGCTCTCTTACTCCTTTAGCCAACTTACTATTTTTTATGGTTATTATTTACAGTTTAAAGTTAAGATTAAGGATTCAAAGAACAACATTCACACTCATCCCTTTTAATAGCAGGAAATCTGGGAGATATTTTAAATTGGGAGATACCTTTGCATTCTAAATTGGAATACCTTCTATAATTTTGAGTCCCCCTAAAATGCACTTTTTGCCACTAAGTTAACACAGAATTCCACTACTTAAAGGAAGTAAGGGGGGGCTGGCACTGTGGTGCAGTGGGTTAATGCCCTGGTCTGAAGTGCTGGCATCCCATATGGGCACTGGTTCAAGACCTGGCTGCTCCACTTCCAATCCAGCTCTCTGCTATGGCCTGGGAAAGCAGAAGATGGCCCAAGTGCTTGGGCCCCTGCACCCATGTGGGAGACCTGGAAGAAACTCCTGGCTCCTGGCTTCGGATAGGCATAGCTCCAGCCATTGTGGCCAGTTGGGGAGTGAACTATCAGATGGAAGACCTCTCTCTTTCTCTGCCTCTCATTTCTCTGTGTAACTCTGACTTTCAAATAAATAAACAAATCTTTAAAAAAAAAAAAAAAAAAAGGAAGTAAGTAAGGTATTTCCAAGAAAATTCCAGCTGGTACATTTTTTGAATGTATACATAGGGCTCACATTACCTCTTTAGTCCCTCAAGAATTAATAATGGCTTTCCAGGGCAGCCATTTATATACTCATCTCCAAATCAGCCTCAACTAGAAACCCTACTAAATGCAAAATAACCATAAATATAGGAAAAGCAAAGAATGATTTTCAAGGTAATTATTCCTATCACAAACTAGCAGCAAAACATACATAGGTATTTTAACTCTAATTTTTTCATATTTCTGGCCTTTCATGTAACATTAAAAAGTCTGTGAAACAATTTTCTTTCATCTTCAGTTAATATCAATCATTATTCACTGTTGGGGGGGGGACGGGGGAGTGTAAACAGGTACACTGTTGCTTTTAAGTTAATGGCTGACCTAAAATCTGAATAAAAAAACTGCCCACTACTTTTACTGGCTTAACCCAATTTGCGTGTAGCTTTTGCTCAAAAAAAAAAAAAAGAATCCTTTCTTTGTCCATTTTTTTTTTGTCAAATTTGTAGCTTCGAGGTAGAAATATGATCCAAAAATGCAATTCAGAAACCTTCAAATGGTTCCTGCATTTCAAATGGTTCCTGGTTGCAGTATGAGTCATGGCTCACTAAAGGAGCTCTGAAGAAGTGAACACACCTGGGTGGGTATCTCAATTCTGCTAAAGTATGCCCCTGATCAATTACTTATGTCTGTCAGCCTTAGCTTCCTTATTGATAAAATGGGAATAATGACATAACAGACCTCAGAGACTTACTGTGAGGATGAGAGTCCCTGCAAAGGCAATGGCATGGAGTGAATACTCAAGGTGCATTACTAGTGATAACAGATTAACTACGCTTTTAAAGATCTGCACCTGACTACCTCCTTTACAACTTAGTTTCCTGCACATACCAAGATGTTGAATTCCTCAGTCCCTTTAGAAACCTTTAGGATTCTCCCCAGAATCTACAGTACAGTTACTTACCGGCGAGTCTGACAAACGCTTACTCATCACTTAAGGGGCACCTGCAGGATCACCTCCTTTACTGAGTTACGCTTCCCAACCTGTTTCATGATTACTCCCAACCAGGCCTTCCGACCTCTAAAGGAAGGACCCACAGCTCATTCACCTCTGCATTTCTCAGCAATACCTCGCAGATGGTCAAGGACTGTGACAGCAGTCAGGCCTTCTATCAGTCCACAGTATTAACAAAGTATCAAGTATGTGAGAAACTAAGAAGCTTAGAGTTAAGCTAAACTCACAACAAGAACCAGATTCCATCTGTTTTGGTTCAAGGTAAACTTTCAAGTCACTACATTTTATGCAGTTAAACCAATTAAGAAATGTTAGGAATAAATGTTGCTACTTTTATTTTTCTTCCATGTTGACATCTGCTTTAGATTTGGATCACATGCCCACTTCCTTGGGACTGTACTGAAACAACAGTGCACACTGGGTTTTTTTCTTTCCTTTCAAAAGCAAGGGTGCCAGCATAGGTGCCGGCAGCCCCTGTCACTCACCTCAGCCACCTGCTGGGTCCCCACTCTGTGATGAACCAGCCCCTCCATATTTGTAGCCATGGTGAAGCAAGATCATTAGAGAACCTGTTTGGAAAGATGCAGCAACTTCCATCAGGTGGGGGGAAACCAGGCTACTGGAAACTATCAGTAATTAAAACTTATCCTACTGTTTTGTGCAGATTTCACCTTCAACAGAAGACAGAGCCAGCAGGCCAGGCATAGCTGGACCTGCTGCACAAGTTTCCTCAATCACAGGTATACAATTAATTAATTACAATATTTAAATTTCGAAATATGACTTCTTCTGGTAAACACAGACAAAGATGAATTTGGAAAGGTAACTATCAGGTCACCTGAGTTCCAACAGTGTGGCTTACTTCTCAGGGAGGTGGGAATCCCATACACCTTTTTGTAAAGTTCCCTGTCACAGTGTGTTGAAGAAGGTGGTTATCTGAGAAAGGCGTGAGATCAACTCTGCATAGAGCGCTAGATTGCTATCATCAACTATACTTCTGTTACTAGTGGCAATGTGAGAAGTAAAACCCTACCCAGGTGCTAACACACCCACTGGAGGGTTGAAAGGCAAACACCATCATTAACAAAGAAAGGAACAAGGAGGCCGCATTATAACATGGTACCCATAAATGTATTTCAATTTTTAAAGTCCTCCAAAAAATTAGAAAACCAGGTAATTCAGCCTCTACTAATAAAAAAGAAAGTCCCATCTGATGCCATCGTTTGTGAGAACTGAGGAAGACTATCTCAGGACCGCAGAGTGCGGCAGTCACCGAGGGCAGGACACTGGAGGACAAGCACTGCTGTGGGCACACGACAGCCCGGGTGAGTATTTCCTAAATGCTTTCTGCTAACTCCACCACAAAGAACTGAGGATAAACCAGGTCTCCTATAGCTTTAACTTATGTACAAATTATTATGGACTACAGAGGTCCCACAGTTAAGAGAACAAAGCTCTAGAATCATCTATTTCCAGGATTAACATATAAAAATTACAAAGGACTACACAGTATGCAATATACTCAAACATTGGCACAGTTAATTTGTTTGCCCTTCCTTAATCACAAACTACACTACCACGCAATGCAATTTTATAGAATTTACAAAACACACTCTGCAAAGTTCCAAACTGAAGTATTACCCAGCACTGATGTCTGTGGAGCTTTCTAACTCCCTGGTAACCGACAAGTATAAAAAACCTGGCTCTTGCCTTCAAGGAGTCAAAACTTTGTAAGAACAGGTGCCACTGGGGCTGGCATTGTTCCATATGGGCACTGGTCAAATCCTGGCTACTGCATTTCCAATCCATCTCTCTGCTAATATGCCTGGGAAAGCAGAAGATGGGCCAAGTACTTGGAAGATCCTCCTGGCTTTGGCTTGGCCCAGCCCTAGCCCCAGCCCCAGCCACTGCAGCCATTTGGGGAGTGAACCAGATGGAAGACCTCTGTCTCTCCCCCTTCTCTCTCTCTGTAACTCTGCCTTTCAAATAAATAAAATGAATGTTTAAAAATTAAAAACAAAATAGGTGCTACAGCAACCATCACATGGCACTGGGCCACCCAAACAAGGGATTCATTTTCACATATGGTTAGGCTTGAAACTGTGGAGTAATGTTTTTGGTTATATATTCCTTCAATAAATAGAACTTTTAACTTTCATTTCAAAAGGAGAAAACAGAAACATTTTGGAATCTGTCTTTGCTACAGATTAGTTCAAACTAGTAAGATGGAGGGGGAAAAAGCGAAACTTCAAATGTGCCAGAAAAGTCAACTCACTTGTTAAAAACACTATTACTGCATGTGAAAAGTCTCATGTTTTAACATTCTTCCTCAAAACTGAAGAAAAATTCTCTAGAAATCAGATATATAGCCAATAGGTATTATATTACTAAGGACTAAAATCTGAACATGTAGTTCCAACTAATAATTTAATCACTTTATGGCATTACCAGCATTTGTGCTTTTTTTTTTTTTCGGACAGGCAGAGTTAGACAGTGAGAGAGAGAGAAAGGTCTTCCTTCCGTTGGTTCATCCCCCAAAATGGCCGCTAAGGGAGCAACCAGGACTAGATCTCGGTGCCCATATGGGATGCCGGCGCGCAGGCGGAGGACAAACCAAGTGAGCCACGGCGCCGGCCCCTGTGCTGCTGTTATTAACGGCAGTCTTAGACAAGGAACGTTGTCAGGAGGGGCTGGCTTTGTGGTGCCACAGGTCAAGCGGCTGCCAACAATGCATTCCATATTGGAGCGCTGGTTCCAGTCCTGGCTGCTCTGCTTCCAATCTAGCTAGCTCCAAGTTAATAAGCCTAGGAAGGCAGTGGAAGATAGCCTACATGCTCGAGCCCCTGGTACCTACACAGAAACCTGGATGGAGTTCCTTGCTCCTGGCTTTGGCCTGGCACACCCTCAGCTGTTGCAGCCATTTGGGGAGTGAACCAGCAGATGGAAGATCTCTTCCTATCACTGCCTTTCAAATAAATAAATCAGAAAAAAGAAATAATGTTAATATTATTGAATATTTTAGAAATAATAAAGTATTGGAAAGGCTAACCTTTCTATTGGGTTTCCTTAAAAGAGCTGGCTTGATCCTACAAATTTTGAGTTGACATGGATTTTATAGATGGTCACTTGTTTATGGAGGCTTAATAACTCAAAAAATTTTCTGTAATGATTCAATTTAGCACTAAATTTTCAGCTTCAGATAGGGGATGAAGTCCCAAGAAATTGTAACAACTGGTAATGGTGAGGTTAGGTATTAGGTCACAGCAAGTGTATCCTAATTCCTTTTTTTTTTTTTTAAAAGATTTATTTTATTTTATTTGAAAGGCAGAGTTAGAGAGAAGACAGAGAGAGATTGATCTTCCCTCTGCTGGTTCACTACTCCCCAAATGGCTGCAATGGTGGGGACTGGGCCAGGCCAAAGCCAGAAGCCAGGAACTCCACCTGGGTCTCTAACGTGGGTCTAGGGGCCCAATTACTTGAGCCATCGTTTGCTGCTTTCCCCAGGTGCAGTATCAGGGAGCTGATTGGAACTGGAGCAGGTGGGTCCCAAGTCAGCACCTGTACAGGATGCCAGAGCTGTAGGCAGCAGTTCCACCCACCGCACCACAGAGCCAGCCCCAATAGGAATTCTTTGATTATATAAGTTATAAATAACTTCTCTCACTTTGTGGTTCCTCTATTAACTTTCTTTACAGTCTTCTGAGGAACAGAAATCCTTAAATTTAATAATGTTGACTTATTAATAGTTTATTTTACAGTTATATTTTTGTTTTATTTATGAAAATCCTATCCTATTTTTTTTAATTTAATTTAAATTTTTTTTAAGCGATGTATTTATTTGAAAGGCGACTGACAGAGGAAAAGACAGAAATACAGGAGATGGTTCAACTGCTGGTTCACTCCCCTGATGGCTGTGGCTGGGCCAATCTGAAGCCAGTAGTCAGGAATTCCCACTTGGGTCGGAGCCCCAGCACTGCTTTCTCAGGTGCATCAGCAGAGAGCTGGATAAGAATCAGAGTAGCCAGGACCCCACCCAGTGCTCCAACACAGGATGCTGGCATTGCAGGCAGTAGCTTAACCCCACTGTACCCCAACAGAGTTACCTATGCTAAGGTTTTAATTTTAATAATTCTACATATTTTCCTGTAAATGTTTAGCTGTGTAAATCCTCACACTTAAGTCACTGATCTATCTGCAACTGATTCTTGAGTTTGATAAGGAGTAAGGATCCAACTACTGTTTTCCTATGAACAACCCATTTTCCAGCACTATTCAGTGAATGATCTATCCGTTTCCCCACCGACACGGCACGTCTTCAGTTTCCCTACACATGTGGATAGTAAGTCTAGGTTCTCTTTCTGTCACCACCATTTTGTTATCACTAAGCTTTAGCTCTGACTTGCTCTTGGGCAGGACAAATGCCCCCCACCTGGTTCTCCCACAACAACTTCCTGGACCATCTCAAGCGCCTTTCTTTACACACTTGAATTCTTACAGTTCTGGATCTCACTGTTGGTTTTCTGCCTCCAAAGCAGCTTCAGGCATCATCAACAGCAGCTTTGGAAGCTGCTTAAAAATGATCAAGGAGAAGTGTACACCTTCTGGAAAAACAAGCAGAGACAAAGAATGAGAATAAGAGTGAACTATGTTAAGCAAGTGCTTTCAATAAAGATTTACATCCAATCAGAGCAGACCAGTGAGAGGTAGTTTCCAAGAAGTATCTTCATTTCATCACTTCTGACAACAGGTTGAGTCACATGCCATACCCTATCTTCACATACAGAAGCTGCTGCTTCCCGGATATCACAATGTGAGAACAAAATTCTCAAGAGACTTCAGGAAGGGGGCGAGGGAATATTTAACTACAAAGGGTAAGATAATGTCAGAGAACAAGGCTCTCACCTGAACTTCGCTTACTGCTAACACAGCCATAGGTGCTCCTAGAGACAGAAACATCACACAGTGAGAAAGGGCAGAGGTCTTTGGAAAGGGTATGGGGCAGTGGTTATCAATTAGGGGCTGTCCCCTACAATGAGAAGCTCCAAGCAACAATGGGTTGGGTCTACATGTAGTCTGATAACCATAGTCACTAGAATAATGTAATCTAAAATTAAAATCTGGACAAAAAATTCCATTTTTTAATAGTACAAACTACACAAACAAAGCTCTTAGAAAGTGGTTACTCTATACCAGGGACTATTATTAAGCCTCTGGCACAGAAACCTGAGTTTTAAAGTCTGGTACTTGACTAATTCAACTCTCTAACCTTCAAAGATTGTCCATACACACAATTTGTTTAAAGAAAAGAACCTACAGCTGTTAAGATCCAGTATCTTCAGTCAAAGAAGTGCTGTGGAACACTGGCTCCTGGCCATCTTAAACTAATCAAGCCTGACCACCTCTACCAACTTCACCAAGCAACTGCCATGAAGTTGGCAATGAACTGCTGAGAACTAATCACCACCACCACCACCACCACCCACAGTAAACAGGGAGGGAAGAGAAAAGAGAGTGCTTTGTCCTTGATAAACTTTCAAAGGAAACCAGTCAGTGTCTATGCAATGCAAAGGCTACCATGAGCACCCTCTAGAGGAAGCATGCCATTCTGCCTGGGGAAGTTCAGTGAAGATTTTACAGGGCAGGAGAAAATTAAACAAGGCTTAAGTATCTTGAAGGAAGAGTGGAAATTCAGCAAGCAAAGAAGCGTGGATGGAGAGTTCTAAGCAGAGAGGACCATCTGTGAAACTCACAGGTAGGACAAAGAAAGGGCACACTCAAGGAAGTGCAGACGACCTGGAGAGAACTGTTGTAGAGGTCAGCGGAGGAGAAAGACCAGCACTGCAGACAATGCATAACTATTAGGAACTTGGCAGAGGAAGACACAATCACAGACGGATCTTAAAAAAATGTCGCTGTGCAGCAGTGGGGCAATGAAGACTGTACATGGGAAGCCAGTTATGAAGTGGTTAGCGGTGAAGGCAGATTCTTAAACTCAACTTCAACTAGTGACTTCTCCCTGGACAGCACACAGGGAACAATATATTACAACATGAAATACGGACAAAAAAAGGACAGAAGTAAATCATGATTTCTTGGCCTTTTGTAGCAGGTTCTACAGTGTAAAGTTTTTCAAATTTAAGTACATCATATCATCCCTTTAGCAAAGAAGCACAAAAACCGCAACAGTGGCTTTGAATCAACTCTTCTAGGCCTGCAAAGAGCGTGACAGCTGACTAAACCTTCTAAACAGAGTTTCTTTAGTCAAACAGGTTACAGACCCCACTGCAGTGAAAGCTGGGCTCTGTGGAAACCCCTCAGTCTTGGCAGTGGCTAGGACAGTCCAGCCCTGCTCTCCGCAGGCAGTGGCAGGAGGTGGTATCTCAAATAACAACAAACAAGTCCTGGAACAAGGAAATCCTGTCTTCCTTGACAGGATCAGATGAGTCTGCGTTTCCCTCTACAATCAACTGATTCAAATCATTCATATTTATGTTTTACATGGCTATAATTATGTAACATTCAAAGTATCTTCCATCTTGATTTTTTTTTTTTTTTTTTTTACAAACAAAGGTGTCTGGTTCTGCGGTTCGGACACTAAGCTGATCTCTCTAGTAGTGACCATACAAGGTTGCTGGGAAGACTGGGTCTGAAATACAGTTGTGCTGTGCCCAGGGCATATGATCATGCATGACATGCATGCATGACAGCTACCAAAGGCAGAAGCTGACAATGTAACTTCCACTTTCTCAAGAAAATAAAACATGTATTACCATTAGGAAAAGGTCTCTCACTTGGACACAGGATCCCCATTAAAATAAAATATATATGTATTATATAAATGTACATACAGCATGTGTAATCCTGTTAAATTGTGCAGCTGGGCAAAATTAAAGAGTTGAATTAGGATAAAAATCCCAAAAATATTAAAAATCAATACCTACTAAGTATCTGCAAAATACTACGGGTACAGAACTGCTCAGTAAGTACAGTGTTCAGTTTAAGTTTCATTATACTTTGTCTTTCAGAACTTTTTATGCTTACAGGAAAATTTTTTTTTATTTATTTATGTGACAGAGTTAGACAGTGAGAAAGAGACAGAGAGAAAGGTCTTCCTTCCATTGGTTGACCCCCAAAAATGGCCGCTGCGGCCGGAGCTACGTCAATCCGAAGCCAGGAGCCAGGTGCTTTCTCCTGGTCTCCCATGCGGGTACAAGGGCCCAAGCACTTGAGCCATCCTCCACTGCACTCCCGGGCCACAGCAGAGAGCTGGATTGGAAGAGGAGCAACTGGGACAGAACCTGGCGTCAATATGGGATGCTGGCGCTGCAGGCAGAGGATTAACAAAGTGAGCCATGGCGCTGGCCCAGGAAAATTTTTTAAAAATATAATCTAGTTAGCATGAAAGAGAATAAAAAATGAAAAATACACAGCTCAAGAAAGATAGTTGGGGCATAGGCATTGTGGTATAGGGGGTTAAGCTGCCACTTGAGGTGCCCACATCCCACACTGCAGTGTCAGTTCGAGTCTTGGCTTCTCCACTTCCAGTCTGGCTTCCTGTTAATGTGCCTGGAAAGGTAGCAGATGATGGCCCGAGTGCCTGGGCTCCTGCCACCCACGTAGGAAACCTGGACGAAGTTCCTGACTTCTGCCTTTGGCCTGGCCCAGTCCTGGCTACTGGAGGCATCTGGGGAGTGAATGGGTGAATAGGAGATTGATGAATAATACCATTCTCTCTCATTCTTTCAAATTAAAATAAGTAGAAGCATTTGTCAGCCCCTACCTGATCTGCCAACCTGCTGCTTCCTTACAGTGTTCAATCAATCTAGCTCTGACCAGACCGTGCTCTTGAAAAAAAAAATTTTTTTTTTCTCAAATGGATACTAAGAGGCAGGTTTATGCCCATCAACAGAGAAGTTATTCATGGGGGTGCCTCTAAGGTCAAGGTTACATATATATCCTATCCACAACTTATCACTACTTAAACTCAAAGGTTATTTAGCTCCTAGGTCAGGCAATTCCCTGCCCATTGTGCCTCTCCATAGGAAAATGGTTCTTTCCATGTTAAAAATCTGGGCTGAAAGAAACGGACAGCAGTGCTGTGGGTAGGCAGGTGGAACAAGGAGTGAACAGGAGATGTGATTTTAGCCTGCGAGGAGTTCCTACACAACCAGGACAGTTCTAAAATTCACTGCACACGGTGGAGTTTTCTTCACCTTACAAAGGGTCCAAATTCAAGGCTGATGTGGACTCTCTTCAATTGTACTAGTATGAGCTACAGGAAGATGGACAGAAGGAAAGCAGGATAGATTTCCTAGGTACCTATGAAGTGCTCTGTATCAAACTATGCATGATCTGATCACCAGCATACCTCCTGAATAGATAGGATTAGCTCTACCAAGGTAGGTGGAGAAAAGATTTATTTATTTGAAGTCAGAGTTAGAGAGAGAGAGGGAGAGACAGAGATCTTCCATTTACTGGTTCACTCCCCAGATGGTTCCAACAGCCACCATTGGGCCAGGCTAAAGCTAAGAGCTTTTTCTGGGTCTCCCAGGTGGGTGGCATGGGCTCAGACACTTGAGCCATCTTCCACTGCTTTCCCAGGCCATTAGCAGGGAGCTGGATCGGAAGTGGAGCAGCCACATAGGATGTCGGTGTCACAAGTGGCGGCTTTACCTGCTATGCCGTAACACTGGCCCTGGGGAAAAAAATAGATTTTAACCAACTCCAGTCATCCAGCCACCAAATGATGGGACTGCGGTTCCAGTTCATAACCTCTTTGACTCTAAAATCACAACGGTTCCTCTGGAACACATGGCCCAACAAAGTAATTCCCCAGAAAGAGGAAATAAATGAAAAATTTAAAGGGGGGGGGGCAGGAAACCAGTTAATTAAGCACACAAACTTATATTAGTAAGCTAAATCATTTATTTTTTGAATTTTCTTTTCTTTTTGGAAGATTTATTTTATTTATTGGAAAGGCAGATAAAGAGAGAGAGGAAAAGAGGAAGAGAGAGACCAAGAGACCTTCCATCCACTGGTTCACTCCCCCAATGGTCCCAATGGCCTGGGAAGGGCCAAGCTGAAGCCAGGAGCCAGGAACTCCATCTGGGTTTCCGATATAGATGGCAAGGGCCCAAATACTTGGGCCATCTTACACTACCTTCCCAGGTACAACAGTAGAGAGCTGGATCACAAGCAGAGCAGCCAGAACTCAAACAGGATGTTGTAAGTGGTGGTTTAACCCGCTGTCACCACAATGCTGGTGCATAAGCTAGATCACTTAACTGATTTACACAATCACTAATTACTAAATATGTTGCACAAACACTGTATTTCAATATTAACAGAAACATCTGACCCAGCTCCACCCAGGTAGTACTCTTAACAGACCATAACAATTCTTTTGAAACTTGAGCACACTTTTCCCTCAAAATTTTTCCTATACTAATCATGTTGATTAAAACCATGAAGATGATGTTACCATCTTTTTTAAAAGTAAAAAGTATTACTGAGCTGCAACATGCAAATATAAAAGTGCATACTTTGGGGCCAGCACTGTGGCGCAGTGGGTTAATGCTCTGGCCTGCAGTGCCGGCATCCCATATGGGCACCGGTTCAAGACCTGGCTGCTCCACTTCTGATCCAGCTCTCTGCTATGGCCTGGGAAAACAGTGGAGGATGGCCCAAGTGCTTGGGCCCCTGCACCCATGTGGGAGACTCGGAGGAAGCTCCTGGCTTCAGATTGGTGCAGTTCCGGCCATTGATGCCAAATGGGGAGTGAACCATCGGATGGAAGACCTCTCTCTCTCTGCCTCTCCCCTCTCTGTGTAACTTTGACTTTCAAATAAATAAATACATCTTTAAAAAAAAGTGCATACATCATAATTTGATTTCTCACTAGATACACATGTAAATGCCACAGCAGAAAGCAGAACATTAC